GCTTAGTTTTTGCAATTATAAAATAAATAGTCAGTGAGTGAGTGAGTGAGTAAGAGAGAGAGAGAGAGAGAGAGAGAGAGAGAGAGAGAGAGAGAGAGAGAGAGAGATGTGCGTGTGCAACGCTGTAGCTGATCGCTCAGCTGAGCGCCCCGCGTAAGCCGCCGGGCGTCGCGGCGGTGCGCCGCTCCTGTCTGCCTCTTGTACTCGGCCAGTTATTCGCTGACTATTTCTTTGAATAATTCAAAAACTAAGCTTCGGAGAACATTTTGGTAAGAGAAAAATCGTCTTAGAATTTAATCAGGAATACGACATTTCAGGGACACTATACCTATTTTGAATTACCCTGTATAAACGGTTCGGAAGCCCGCTGTACCACAGTAGGAGATTTTATACGAGATCGAGAACTAAACCTCAGAGTTTCAGTCGCCACCGTCGGAGTGAGTCGATTTCATCGGTGTTTTCAACACAGTGTTAGAAGAATGAATTAGTACGTTCCTCTGAGTATATCGTGCAAGAAACAGTGTAACGTGTAAGTACCAATGAGCTATCATATATTGCATACATTTTTCCACATTTAATTGTATTTTTTTCAAACTGTTTTAGCAATCGTCGTTACATGCCGTATGTTCCTCAAAGTAGTTATACGCCATCCATTCCTCAAAGTTATACACCATCCGTTTCTCGAGATAAAACTGTTTCGTGCAAAAAACACCATGATGCGTAAGTACCATGAAATTATCGTATATTCGTTCATACTGTTCATCATTTGATTGTAATTATTTTTACTTTATGTATTCTTTCAGTTCCGATAAACCTTGCTACACGCCTCGTAACATGAGCAGGAGATTCGCCCTGACATCCACTGCATACAAATACTTGGATGTTGGAATCTGCGTGGTATCTGGTGCATCCTATGTGGAAATCATTCTCGGCGACAATCGCGGAAATCGGATGGCGTTAGATTATTCAATGTGGACGGAATTGAACAAGAAACGCGTAGAAATTGAGCAGCTCTTGAAAACAGCAGATGCGTCATTGTCATCATCATCGATGCATATTAACGATTTAGTTTTAGAACTCGTCACAATGTACGGCGGAAAAACTGTAAAGCTAACATTTAACAATACTTGCATGTATATGAAAGTACCAACTGTATTATTTTTATTCCAACTCGAACATTGTGTCGAGCACGTATATCGCATACTGTGTGACATGTTAAGCGAAATAGATCAAAGCTTCGATCAACTTGTGAGCTGCTTACGTGGCAATTTGATCGGTGTCGAAAAAGACGATGCAGTTAGAATGCTGCACAACTGGTATGACAAATCTTCGACCATAGATTGTGAACTAATAGCATATGTCGTAGATGAAATTATTGCTGAGGCTTTTAAACGAGATGAGGACGATAAATTTATAATTGAAAATAACTTTTAAACGAGATGAGAACGATAAATTTATAATTGAAAATAAAAATTTATTGTTTGACTAACATTTTTCTTCTGCTTCCTACCCATACATATAAGATTGGGATAAATTAAAAAATGCTACTATGGTAAAGGGGGAAAATATGCTGCGGAAGGGAGAGTGTGCAAACGGAAAGAAGAAATTCGCACCGTATGGATACATAAAATTATATTTTCATTTTATTAAGGTTAGACCACCAATTGAATAGTTTAAATACATTTTGTAAAGCACAATTTGTTACATATTTCTGACAGCGAAAAGTACACGTATCGTCTAATTTATTGAGAGATTGTATATCCTCGTAGTCAGCGTCAATAATTTCGATGTAGACATCTCCTCGCGCGTCGTCCAACAGCAAATCCTTTAACCATTCTCGTTTTTCGTGTCCCTTGACGTATACGAGAAGCGGTATCTCAGAATCGCCAGCATCTTCTGTACCAACCACAGCCGTTGTAATCAAACTTCTAGCCCTGCCGTATGGAACTATTGCATCATCCCATTGTAGTCCATGATGATTCGCAACCAACCAGGATGCTTGATGTCTCTCCGCTCTGCTGAGAAGTCGCCACGGTACATGACTTGAGAAAATGTAGTGCGTGAGAACGCGTCCTTCTCGGAGAGCTGCAAACTCCTTCACGACAAAGTGACCGCCGACGACGAAACCTTGCAGATCGACAAACGTTGGTGTAGTCATGACGACACCTTTGAGACTGCTCCTCATCGCGATACATGAATCTCTCTTATATTGGAATACTGCCAACATTTCAATTTACATGACTTGGCGCACTACATTGGACAATGGGCAGTATTCGATGACACGATCGTGCAAGATGAGACAGTAGGCTGTAGTATTTGCAGGCACATTCTCCTTGCAATCAAATTCTATGCGTACATCCACAGTAGCGCTCTTGATAGACTCGTTCTGTCGCGCGCAATCGATGACTACGAAAGGTCCATTCGTCAAAAATGTGGTTACGGTGCAAAGCGTTTCATAGCAGTCGTATCCATAATAAGCTTTACGAAAACGTGCATACATGTCAAAAAGTATTGCGTATTTATTTTTTTTGAAGTCTAAATTTAGGTCATAATATGGATAAAATTCAGAGTTGAGATAAAGTTTCACGTTGGTCAGATTACAGTCATCGAATACGCTCGCATCTTCAGACATAATATTCTTTCGGCCAGTCTGCAGAGCAAAGATAACATATCGCGGTTTCTCTAACTGAGTCGCTGATTTGATAGCCCATGAATGTCTGGTTGTGCTCTGCAATAGCGGGTACTCGTACAGTTCCCATGATCGGAAACTCATACTCAGATATTGTCCGCTTTCCAAAGCTCGTAGCAAAGATAGTTTATTGGTCTCATTCAACATAACGTGAGGCATTCGCCACTGTACTTTAAGTAGTTCAATTTCAGGTTCCGTCTTCGAATCTCCCTTGATAGAATTGTTGTCAGTGCGCGCTCGTATCAAAATCAATTCATGACGAGCGTTAATAACCACACGTTTGTAATCCTCACAAAGCCTAAAAGCATGTTGAGCGGTACGCAAAAATTAAAGTCTCCTTCCGGTATGGTTGATGAAGTGTCCCATCCTGCATTTCGCAAGATCTGCGATTTGTCAAACGTTAGAGATACATAATTCTTGATAGTGCTGGTTATTCCAGCGTTTCTGATGCGATCAATCTCCACACCGTTAAGTTCGTACCGAATTTCGTCAAACATAAATGCCGCGCAATTATTTGCGAGAAAATTCTCCGCATCATTGTTCTTCTTCTTCAATTTTCCTTCGATGTAGAGTAAGCTTTCACA